TAGGTATGCAAAACAATTTTAAGACAAAGTTGAGCGTCCTATTAGTTTGAAAACCACTGATTTTCTGCATTGACCTCCTAAACGTGTAACGATAATAAACGATGTGTTCTGTGTGGCTAAATGTCACGAATATCTGAAAAATACACTTGTCACGCATTATAATTTCGCAGCTGCATATGTGGGGAAATCGCATCACGTCTGAGCCAGTCAAATATTTTAATCGTCAACACGGCAAACAAGGGGGGTTGCTGTAGACGCAAAGAGTTGAAAGCTGACTGCATTGTTTGCCTCACGGCAAAAACTCATAGAACATCACCACAACGTTTTTCCATAATCTAAACTCAGTTTGATGGCTTAGATATATCTGGCACTGATCCGCATGAGGTGCAGTTTATCTGCTACAAATGTGACTGAACATCGACTAGTTACATCTTTGGTCTACTGGTGCTTTTGAAGATTAGTCCCTTGAAAAAAGTTTAAACTAACGTGATTAATGGTAACCAACACAACGCAGTATGAATAACTAACAGTTCAGTAGCCATTAGGCGTTCCCGATTCTCGTCCGTTTAAATGCTATACTTAGCTTCAGTCAAAGTTCGTTGGGCAGTTGACAAAATGCTTAAATATACAACTCTATAAATTGGTTTTCCTCCAAAATGCTGGTCCTTTCCGTAAACTAGACGGCCAAGCACATATAATCTCATGAATTATGAACACACTTGAAGGAAGATCTACCCAGTTAGTTGGGTAACTAAAAAAGGAAAATCAGCCGCAGTTACCTGTTATTATTCATTTTTAGCTAGGCTTTCTGAATAGACACTTGTCAGTCGCCTTACATATGAGAACTTCAACCGGAAAACAGCTGCCGGTCACGTCATAGTTATGTTCTACGAACAAAGTCTAAACACGTTAATCCTCGAGTCTGGAGTACTTCTCAAAAGCTGCTGACTGAAAACACGATGGAAACTTCAAAACTAAAGAAAGATATCGGTACTGTTTGGCTTATCTCTACTAGGTTCCCTGCCATCTATTGGCTAAGAATTTGTACCGGCTGTGCCACGAATCTGATGAAACAGACATTGGGTTGAAACAACGACTGTTTCCGTGTGCTCAACGAAAACTTATAAGAATTCCTCTCAATTTCTAACACTTATACCACCAATTCATTAAGAATTCAAGCGTTCTGTTTTTACACTTCCGTTCACACTCTTCACCATTTCTTAATGTTTTTTACTGTAAACTGTAGTGTGAATCCAAAGTACGGTTCCGTTTAAGTTAATTTTTCCGACTAGATCATAATATATTATGACAGTGTTCCATCTCATCTAGGGTGCTAACCACCACGCCCAACAACTGGTTGATATAACCTCTACAAATGCTTTGAAAGGTAGTAAATATGTGTTAATGTATCAGCTTCTAAAAGTAACTGAAATGTCACCGCAGTTTATGAAACTGGCTGAGCCAGTCGGCGGGTCAAGTCATTTCGGCAATACGAAATAATGGCATTAAATTGGCTGTTAGTCACCACTCAGTTTGTTAGAAAAGCAGTGGGATAAGAAATCATGGGGACTTGTTAGGACCAAGAATTTCTGTTGGTGTCTTCAGTAGATTGGAGTAGCGGGAGAATTTTGAGTGTACCTAAAACCAACGATTCACTCTGAACTTGGAATAAGTCATTGTTTTGTTTCTTTACGTGTGCAATAAAGTAGGGTATAACAACGATGGAAAGAACACGTGAGTCAGCAGAAGTACATACTGTATTGTCCCAGTTGCGAGTGGTAGCGTCATTTTTTAGTGGGTGGACGAATAAGCTGTTTCAGTTCGAACATCACCCACAATTGATCGCAGCTGTCGCATTCCCATAGACCATCCAGTCGGCCACCTTTCGAGAAGAAACACTAGAATCGAGTTTCGCTCTCATTAGAGCTCGTCAGTAGTGCATATTATCGTCACTGCCGGGACTTGAACCACGGACAT